CGTCCAGAAGACCTATACTATTTTTTTCTTCTTGATTTTTTACCTGGATTACTGAGATGCATCAGGACATATTACTCCTTTTATCAACCACTGAAGCTCTCCTCAAACTCACATCTACAGCCTGCTTCTCACAAAATGACCACAGTGTTGAAAAGGAACGAAACCAAATATTAGTTGCAAGTAAAAAAATTAACTGTTTTTTGAACATTTTCAACCTTTTTTTCTAGTGGATGAGCGGCCTGCTCAGTATCTGGATTGTTCTGGATTGAATTCATACAGTATGGAGTTTGATTTGTCTCCTTGAAATAAATGAGAAAACTGCAGACTTTTACTTTCAGAGAAGTTCATTTGTCAAACTGCATGACTTGGATGTGAGAATGAAGAAAGATGTGACATTTGTAGGTTTCAGCTGTAAGAAAGAAAAGAAAGTGTCTCTCTGGAGACTCAGTCAACAGGTAAACAGTCAAGTTGATTAAATTGACCAAATTCAGGTCCTGGCTAGAGTTTTTTGGGTTGATGGGATGGGATGATGTCTGGTGTTTATATGATGTCATTTTTCCTCTGTCAGTAATCTCAGAGTTGATATTCCAACCCATTCTCACTCCCGAGTCGTCACATATTGACACTTTTCCAAAGTTCCCTCTGCGTACAATTGTGACGCGTCGGGTACTCCCCTTGCGTCACTTTTTGGTGAGATGGGGCGTAATCTGTTGTCATAATTTCTTAAAGTGTAGAAAATGTMCAAAAACTACTGTCCCAAAGCCTAAAATTACCTTTATTCATTTTAGACATCCTGTCCCTGACCCTAGTACCCAAACTTAACCATCAACCCTGATCCCTCATGTTAACCTCAGACCCCCGACCCAAAGACCCCWGGTGCTGCAACCCGGAAAAGCCGCGGTCGGCAAAGACTGACGCGAGGGGGTCACCCGACGCGTCAAAATAAGAYGCAGAGGGAACTTTGGAAAAGCATCAATATGTTGAGGAGTCAGGAGTGAGAATGTGTTAGATATTCCAGTTCACTGCCTGGAAAAGGCAGGAAGAGTGACTGCAGACTGTTCTGCTCCAAYACATCCTTCTACTCTGTGTGCAGATTTTTCATGACATTGCATACAAGGCGAAGGACAGACAAGACCTGCTGGCTGGGATCGATGAGTTCCTGGATGAGGTGATTGTACTTCCACCTGGAGAGTGGGACCCAACCATCAGGATCGAGCCCCCCAGATCCATCCCTTCTTCAGTTAAAAGGTCCAAAATCATGCAGAAACATAAACATTTAGCAACAAACTGGCCTCTTTCTACAAGAGTTTCATTAGTTTGAACATGTCTACTCATTTAAAGAAAGTACTGAGAAAATGCTTCAAATGTAATCTGCATCTGAAACAAGAGTCATCAGTTTCAAGACAAAAACTCATCAATTCAAAAGTTCATTACAAAATATAAGAAAGAAAGATAGAGCTGTTTGTTAAATGCACTTCAAGTCTGCATCCAGGTTTATAACTAAAGACTGAATGTGAAACAGCATCAGTTGTTTTTAAGATGAAGCTGCAGAAAACCAGGGGAATAAACGGGGTTAAATGATGTTTAAAACTATTTAATCAGCTAACAAAGGTTATCATGCAGAAGTCAGGTGATATCTTCTACAATGACTGCATGCTGACAAGTCATTACTGGGAGCTTCTCTGTTTTAGGAAGAACCTGTTTGCAGGAGATTCTCAGATGAACGGAGACATGCCTCAGGATGGAGGTCATGGAGGAGAAGGACACGCCACTGGAGACGAGCTGAAGAAGACTGGCAGGTAGAAAAAACTCCACAGCTGTGTTAAAACCAGATGTGCTGAGGATGGGCAGTGGAGTTTAAAACACTGTGGACATTAAACATCATCCCTTCTGTCCTGTCACATCATRCTAAATCAGAGTGCAGTTAATAACAAACTGCTTTTACCTGCTGAACATGAACCAAGAGCCACATTTTCAAACATTATTTTGGCTGGACAACTTTCAGTGAAAACCTGAAATACTTCATGAAGACGGCTGGAATGTCTGCTCTTCTCTCCAGGGTTTCTATAAGTTCAGCTTCAGGCACATTCAGGCATCTATCATAGATACTTATCTGTGTACTGGCAGATAATGCAATACAAAACAGCTTCATAGAAATCTACCATTTTAAAATGCACAACATGAGAGATGCAAACACATTTAAAAGAAATAAATTGGACTGCAAACACTTCCTTATGATGCCTTTAATGTGCTGATGACAAAAAAAGTTCTTGTTGGGACAGAACTGTGAACTTTGAGCCGTTTTATACAAACCTGCAAAGGTTATCCAGTATCAGGAATCATTTCCATCTTTGTCCTAAGGATTGTTGTAGAAAATGTTTTTCCTTTGTGTCTCCTCAGGTTCTGTGGGGGTCTCATACTTGACATAAAGAGAAAAGGCCCTTTCTTTCTCAGTGACTTCACTGATGCGTTTCACATTCAGGCCCTGTCGGCCATCCTTTTCATTTACCTGGGAACGGTGACCAACGCCATCACCTTTGGAGGTCTACTGGGGGACGCCACAGAAAACATGCAGGTCCGACCCGCTTTTAATCCCTGGAAAAATGATGCTGAGCTTCCATTTTCAGAGTTTGTGTGGTCCGTGTGTGCAGGGTGTGTTGGAGAGTTTTTTAGGGACTGCCATTGCCGGGGGTGTTTTCTGTTTGCTGGCTGGTCAGCCCCTCATCATCCTGAGTAGCACCGGTCCTGTTCTGGTCTTTGAACGACTGCTGTTCAACTTCAGCAGGTACWTTCTGAAAGAAACCTGTTTTCCTTTAGCTTCCAGCTGGTGTCAGACTTCAGAGCCACGGCTCCTTACAGTTTCTTCTTGAATTGAGAGATTTGTGCTCACCAGATCTGAACTTTCATCAGTTTCTCATGAGTTTGTGTTCTTTGTCTCCAGAGAAAATGACTTTGATTACCTGGAGTTCCGCCTGTGGATTGGTCTGTGGTCAGCTTTCCTCTGCCTGGTGCTTGTTGCCACTGATGCCAGTTATCTAGTGAAATATTTTACCCGCTTCACAGAGGAAGGCTTCTCCTGTCTCATTAGCTTCATTTTTATCTATGATGCCTTTAAGAAGATGATTAAATTAGCTCACCACTACCCCATTAACTCTGACTTTATGCTGGAAAACATCACACAATATGAGTGTCTCTGCATGGCCCCTACAATCTACGGTGAGAAGTTCTTCTACTTTATTTACAGTACTTCAGAAAAAGTTCTTTTCATGCCCAAAAACAGAAAATCAAACATGGTCTTTGTGATTTTGTTTGATTGATGATGACTTTATTGTCAGTGTACAGAGCTCAATGAAATTAYATTTAAGAAGACACACATGAGAAAAACATGGGGGAACAGGTGATCAGGTCATGCAGCAACCAGCAGGGGTCGCACTACCTTTAAAAAGAAAAACAAAAATACCACAGAAGGATAGACGAGAACAAAACAAAACAAAACATCATATTATATCAACGAAATATGATACACTATGGTGTTTATAAAAAAAACCTCTACAGAGCAAGAGCACATTTATTAGCCAGAGGGTTTAGTGAGTWTAGTGGGAATGAGTCCAAAGAACCCAGCCTCCCAAAGAAAAACCTCATAGTTCAGCCATAGATCAGAATACTGGTGTTGAATTGTTCATTCTGTGTAGCTTCAGGTTGACCTTCAGGGGACACGATTACAGATGGAAGTGAGAGGAGGAGAGGTGGGGGAGGAGCCTCAAGTCGATGTAAACACCAGGAGAAATTAGATCCACCACCTTCAAGGCCACATGGTGGGGGGGGGGTGGGCACGAATCTGTAATCAGTTGTTTGGGAAGAGAAGAAATGTTTTGGGTCAGGTAGACAATAACAATTTTCCATCTGCCTTAATGTCCTTAATGTCTGCTGGTACATCTCAATGTGGTGAATCCAATCAGACAAATAGTGTGGACAATCCCGCCGAGCCGAGCTCTCAGCTTCTCCAAAATCAATTCCATCTGGCCAGCAAAGTCCAGGAACCACAGCCGACCCGCGACCCTCTATAGAACCGCTCTCAGACTGAGTCCAGCTCGCTCAGAGCTAAAGTCTGAGTGCTGATAGAACAGCAATCCTTCATATTGGTCAGTCAGCCAGGAAATGAACAGCCACYGACGCTGTTTTGTAGAACACCAGGAGACCACCAAGCCAATCTGTAGAATCCAGTGATCGGAATCTAGATATATATACATATCCAGAACAGAGCAGAACAGAGGTCCCACCTTTGACATGTCCTCCCATGGAAGAAAACTTTGTTCTAAAAATGTATTAAGAGACCAGCTAACCAAATCCATAAAAATAAATCCATAATTTTTGGTTTCGGATGAAAAACCTAGAGAAGGCTCCAAGCAGCAAAGCAGGGAAGATAAGGAAGGGCAGGAGAGAAGGAAAAAGCATCTTTACTCCTCTGGGAGCAGAACAAAAACAAAGTCATTTGCTGAATATTTTCTTGTATCAACACGAAAGGTCTTGTTGAACTGTTTGGAGATCAGATGGATTATTCCAAAGTAAAAGCACAAGATTTGCATGTGTTTCCTCAGGTAAGCTAAGATCCTTCATGAAATAATATTTTCACTGCTGAYGAGTATGTGTTACATGTTACAAAAATTGAAGTTAGACTAAAAGGTTCAGTCCGTTTTACTGAAAGTGTTAGCATTTTGCTTGGTACCTAGTTTTCTTTCAATTTTTAAAGTTTACTCCAGGCTGTTGGAAAGACTGATTGATTGATTTTCAAACTGCAGATGTAAGAGGAGCAATGTAGCTGCTTTGTGGGGGTCTGCAGGAGTATGGTGGGTCTGGGTTGCTGCTAAAAGTGATCCAGTCCCTGTAGAACCAAAGCAGGAGCTGTGTTTGATTCTTGACACAAAGTCGAGCTTGTTCACAGTGTTGGACTCCAGGACCGTCCCTTGTCTCTGATCCTGTTTGTAGTGTTTATGGACAGGATCTCAAGGTGCAGTCGGGCAGAGGAGGGGCTCTGGTTTGGGAACCACAGGGTCTYATCTCTGATATATGCAGATGATGTGGTTCTGTTGGTGTCTTTGGACCAAGACCTTCAGCGTGTCCTGGGACAGTTCACAGCCGAGTGTGAAGCAGCTGGGATAAAAGTCAGTTCCTCTAAGTCTGAGACCATGGTTCTGAATCAGAAAAGTGTGGACTGCTTCCTCTGTGTTGGGGAGTCTCTGTCTGAAGTGGGGAGATGGCTTGACGAATTGGGGTCTCATCCTCAGTAATGAGGGTGTTGTTTCGGTCAGTCGTGGTGAAGGAACAGCTGAGTCAAAAGGCAAGGCTCTGGATTTACTGATCTGTCTTCGTTCCAACCCTCACTGTGGTAACGAGGTGTGGTTCATGACCAAAAAAACTACGTTTTTTGGAGATCCTGTATTTTTTTTCTTAAATTACTGAAATGTTGAGTCTCATGAAGCATTGCATCTTTAAAATTTTGTGTATAAAAAGAAATATCTGTTTTTTTCCTTTTTTTCAGAAAATGAAACCAGTGTAATTGGTGATTCTGTTGAAAGTGCGATTTGGTACTTTAACAACACTGGCCTGGTGAGTGACTCTTTGAGGTCAAACAATGGAATGAATTTTAACGTGAGACTTCATGCGTGTTGCTGTTTGCTGTCTCAGCTAAACACAAAGGTTTTGTCTGGGTATATTCCACCTGTTTACTGAATGTATTGTTTAACCTGAAGGACTTTAGTCCGGCTACTCCTGGAAATCTTTAACAAACACWAGCAGACTTCCTGGAATTAAGCCACAAATTTTTTACTAGCTGGAAGATGCAAGAGAGACTTGTGTTTATGTTTCATTGTAACTTCATTTAAAGAGTAGAGGGATAAGATAAGCAGCTATTTTATGGGATTTATGTTGTGTTTTTTCATCTTTAATAAGCTCTGATCCCAATGTTTGTTGTGTGTAGCCTCTTAATGCCACATGGTCATCACTCACAAAGTCAGAGTGCTTACAATACAAAGGAGAGTTGGTTGGAGACGCCTGTTCTTACGTCCCAGACATCACCCTCATGTCCTTCATCCTCTTCTTTGGTACCTACACCACATCCATGTGTCTTAAGAAGTTTAAAACGAGTCCATTTTTCCCCACCACTGTGAGTAACATCAGCGCTCTGAGAGAAAAACACCAACAAGCCAAGTCTAAAGAGAATAAATCTAAATCCAGATTCTCTCTCTCTCTCTCAGGTGAGGAAACTCATCAGTGACTTTGCCATCATCCTGGCTATCCTTATATTTTGTGGAGTTGATATTTTTGTGGGAGTTGATACTCCTAAGCTTATCGTGCCAAATGAATTTAAGGTGAGTTTGCTTTTTTAAGATTGTAAAGGAAGATACAAATATTTTCTAATCAAGTTTGAAGCTATGATGGGATTTTGCTACCATCTTGACTTGCGTGAAGATTGTCTCTCTTCCTCCATTCTTCAAAGCCAACAAGTCCACACCGAGGCTGGTTTGTGCCCCCATTTGGAGGAAACCCATGGTGGGTTTACTTGGCCTCCTCTCTTCCTGCTCTTCTGGTCACCATCCTGGTCTTCATGGACCAGCAGATCACWGCCGTCATTGTCAACAGGAAGGAGCACAAGCTAAAGGTAAAACATGAAACTCTGTAAGAAAACTGCTGCAGCTGAAGCTGAGGAATGAGCTCAAACACAAAAACATCTGATCAGATCAGACATTCTGGTGCAGATTTTTGAGTGGTTCCTGTATGTCAGCCAGTTGTCTTCCCACTGTGGTTAAACATCTTCTCATGGGAGTGGGAAGGCACATGATGGACAATATTTCACAAGATTCTCCTGAAGCTGATGCATAAATAAGTGTCCAACCGTACAGAAAATTCACGATTCAGGTCAGTTTGATACATTAGTTTTACGGTTTGATATACTTTTGATACAAAAAAGAGAAATATTCATACCCTTCTTAACTTGTAATGTATTTACGTAAATGAATACCTAACTTTCTGAACACCTTCAGAAGGCAAGCTAAAAAATCAATAAATAAATCTGCATTGTTCCATGCATAGTGTGTATTAATCCATTCATAGTGTGTATTGTTCCATTCATAGTGTGAATTTAACCATACAAAGTGTGTACTGATCCATCCAGTGGGTATTGTTACATACATAGTGTGTATTGATCCATCCAGTGGGTATTGTTACATACATAGTGTGTATTGATCCATCCA